GCTTGTCTTCTGTACAGCCATTGAAGCAACAAACTGAAGGCAACAAAGAGCCTTTCTTTAAAGTTGACTTTGACTGGGCTGAAATCTCTGACACGTGTAGGACTTCAACCACACATGGGGTCAGGATCATTACGAACAGTAATATGCTTTACAGGGATCGCATTTGCACCATGACAAACAAGAGTCCTCTGGTATCAGATAGATTTCTCCAAAGGTTTGGAGAGATAGTTTCTGACACCCCACAAAGAGTGGCCAAATTTTCGGATCAGATAAAATATGACATCTTCCTCCCTGAACGTCAGCACAGTTGGGTTTTGCAGTCAGCTCACGCACTACAGGACGGCACTAATGCCAGAAGGGGGGTCCCACTACCAGTCGTGCTCCTGGCAATGTAAGTCCTGACTGAAAATTACATTTCACTTCAATTCATGCAGGGTTAATTTTCAGCTTGATCACAGAACTTTGCGATTGCCGATGTCAACACAAAGAAAGAGGTTGTATCCTGCAGACAGGTCAGGGAGAGAGAAGAAAATTGCTCTTTTTCCCAACAGTTAAATCAAAGATTAGCCTACAGCAATCGTGAAACTACAGGCTGAGGCACAACACAGACAAACTTACGGTCTGAAAGTCCACATCCCTCTGGACACACAGCACGGAGGTGCCAGCAGAACCCTCGTCGGGGTGCAATTTGAAGGAGACCGTCAGGCTTATACCTTAAAAATCTGGAAGGTTCCGAGGATGGCCTTACAGCGCAAAATCGGGGCAATACAGAATCTGCCCTACACCTCTATAAACTTTAGAAAAATAAAATTATGTACAAAGTGAATAGCCATAAGATTCTTTTGCCATATTTTCAGAAAATCATATTCATTCTTTTTTTTTCTGTATCAGTGACAAAGAAGCAACCACCTCAAGCACTTATAGAGCTATACAGAGCAATCCCCTTATAGCTAAGATCATTCCTAGGAGAGAAGGAATGCTGATCTGTGCATTAGAGGCTGAACAGAGATGACAACCATATGTCACTTGGCAGAAGTCAGGGGGTTGTTTGTTGCTTTTTCAGTATCCCAAATGTAATGAATTATAAAATAGAGCCTAAATTAATAGTCAAGGAGGACTTTATCAGGGCCCCGCACTTAGGAGATGCTCATCTGGGAGAATCTCTTTCAACTCATAGACTGTTTGACTTGATCAAAGGTTCTTGCTTTTCAATAGACTGCTGTATAATACTCAGACTCAAGAGCTTCACGAAACAAGAGCCAGGCTGCCTCCCAGAGAACATTCGAATCCCAGTGAGATGTCAGTCTCATCTTGAAGGCAGGAGGTCCAGCTGTTTGGAAAGCAGGAACTTTCGAATATTAATATGCTCATACAATAATGAATGATAGGACCGCCAGTCTGTACTCTTTAGCAACTTGGTACCATCTAGATTGATATTTGAAAGGTCTTTAACTGCAACAGAATGTACATATTTGATGTTTAATGACATTAGAACAACTAGACAAGTCCATTATCTCTGCTGGGGGTAGGAGGGCGCAATGATGTTAACCCAGCTTCTGGATAAAAGATGAGACAGTGCCACAGACAAAACTTCTATACTTTTTGCGAGCGCTACACTCAAGACGTCCAGCATTCACGGGCTATATGAGACACCGGATTCATCCAAAGAGTGTGCTGAATTTCATGAATAAGAAATCTTCCCAATTTATCCGCTTAGTGAAAGACTTCTCTTTGACAGCCCGAGTCCCACATTCCCGCAAGGCGGGCTAAATAAGACTTTCTGTGTGCGCACAGCTGAACCGCAGGAAAGGAGAAAAATATCATAGGTCGGAGAGATAACTCTCACTTTCAGTATCTTTACACAAAACCACATTTCCCATAGCAAGCTAAAATCCAGGAGTAGATGCAAATCAAAGCAAAGAAACAGTTCTACCTTAAAGATCTTCTACTGCTAACTGCTCAAACTTGAAAGGGGATGTAAGCATACCACCCCAATCTTACAAAACGAAGAAACTTGGGACCTTGTGGTTTAGGTTTTGCTCAGATCAAGAAAGGTGGTAGACATGTGATGAGCTTTGCAAAGTTCTTGAATGGAGATTAGCATCACCCATAAATATACATAGGTAAAGCAACCCATCCAAGTCTGGGGTATGCAAAGTCTTCAGAGAGGACTGCCATATTCTCCATGGATAAAGTGATGCTCTCACTTTTGGCAAACTATTACAGAAGAACCATTTGGAATCCACTGAGCCGAGCTTCGATAAAGGCTTAGGTATGTTTACACCAAGCACTGCAGTGCCACGTACATGCCTGAGACAGTTGTGAATGACTCGGGTACTTACACAGCACAGTGTTATGCAGAGATTATTAACTCCCATCTCGGAAGGAATACAGCCACATTAGCGTGGCTCTGTGCCTGGGCTAATTAGGTGGTGTTTCCCCAGTTGCCAGAAATCAAAGAGTGAATCATACATCTGCCAGCATCCAACCTTCTTCCGAAAGCACAAAGTGGAACTGGTTCGAACCTCAGTTATGTGAGAATGCAAGGTGAATATAAAGACATCATGTCAACAATTTACTTTGTTTTAAAGCCAGAAGGAACCATAAATTCATCTGATCAGACCTGTTATCAGGCAGAGCCCAACCATACGCTGTCAAAGCCAAGACTACAGACGTGGCAGACGACCGATTACGTGGTAATGGCCCAGTTTCTTTCAGAAGGAATCCATTCCTCATACTGTTCTGGAAGTTGAAGAATCCTGTAGAAGAATCCTGGCCATTAGTTCGAAGATGCTCAGAGGGCTGGAGCACCTCTGCTATGAGGAGAGGCTGAGAGAGTTGGGGCTGTTCAGCCTGGAGAAGAGAAGGCTCCGGGAAGACCTTATTGCGGCCTTCCAGTACCTAAAGGGTCTCCAGGAGAGATGGGGAGGGACTTTTTACAAGGGCATGGAGTGACAGGACAAGGGGAATGGCTTCAAACTGGAAGAAGGTAGATTTAGATTAAATATTAGGAAGAAATGTTTCACTCTGAAGGTGGTGAGACACTGGCACAGGTTGCCCCGAGAAGCTATGGCTGCCCCATCCCTGGAGGTGTTCAAGGCCACGTTGGACGGGGCTTGGAGCAACCTGGGCTGGTGGGAGGTGTCCCTGCCCATGGCAGGGGGGTTGGAACGAGATGATCTTTAAGGTCCCTTCCAACATAAATCATTCTGTGATTCCATGATTCCCAGCTCTGGCAACCAGGTTCAATCCTGACATGTGAGCAAGACACATGAACCAATTATCTAGAAATAGGATTCTCTGCCCTATCAAAACAAGCAGCCTGTTACAAAGAAGCCAGCCTCTGGTGACGGCCGATCTCTGACAATCCAAAGAAAAAAAGATCTAAACAAAAAAAGATCTAAAAACAACCACTGGAGAAAACCTCCTTCCTGACCCCTATGAGCAAACCACAGAGGCCCTCAAGCATGATTGGAAGATGGTCATCGCCTTAGTGCAGAGCTGCAAGTATTTCAGGGATGGTGCAGACAAATTGCTCTGAACACAACTATGAAGGAAGGAGTTGAAAAGGGAGGCTCATAAATCAACAGATCCCAGTATAGGCCACCGCACTTGACACGCAGACATAGAATTTCTTCTCATGACTTAAATCAAGCGCCTCTTTTAAAATGATAAATGATCTCATCTTAAAGACTTGAAAGGATGGTGATGGAAAAAATATTCCAACGTTTAATTACGCCAAGAGCTGTGAAACTATTTTATTCCAATGTGAAACTTTCCAATCTTCACCTTCCAACTATGGAACTTGTTACGGCTCACCAGTGGTTGGGTCGTCAGCCTCACTACCAGGTACCTGCTCCTCACTTAAGTAACTGTAAAGATTACCTGATCAGAGTGTTATGTCTCTTCAACTAGTTGAATGTGTTTATTCACAGCACTAGGCCAGTTTTCAAGGCTCTGTATCCTTTTTCTGTCCCTCCTTTGAATCCCCAGAAATATCTCTGTATAATTCCTGGTATGTCAACGCAGAAACCGCATGAAATGTTTTGAGATTTTACTGACTGCGCATAAAGAAAAGAGCTTTCCTACTCCTGACTGAGGCTTCCCTTTTCACGTAGGCAGGAGTTGCAAGAGCCTTTTTTGTCTTTGCATTGTGCTCTGGGCTCACTGGAAGACACTGATCCACAACAGCCCCGGGCTCCTTATCAGTTACCGTTTCCCAGGATGGTATCACATTTTGAAGGTATCATCTGCATTTTTCGTTCCCAGATGTAGTAACAAGTGGCATAATTATGATAGCTGTTAAAATATTGAAATGAGTTACTGCGTGTAATATTTCTGGAAAATGGTAGAAAGGATGATGTTTATTGAAACTATATAAACATGTAAAATGTTTTCTCAACACGGTTTCCCATTTATGTTTGCACAGATGTGTGTAATGTCATCACAAAGCCTCTTCCAAGAAAGATAAATTAAATCAAAAGGTTCGAATACAGCAAATAGCTGGAATGCTCTGCTGGTGCCTCTACACACCACCTCTTACCTCTTTTTGTTCCCTTTTTCTAATCATAAAAGATATTTGCAGCCATCAAAAAATATAAAAAACAAACAAAATTTTTTATGAAGGATAAAGGTCCTCGGCACAAATAAAATGACCAGCTCTGAAGCTGCGAAAAAATATGCTTTAATTTAAGAGACAAAAGATAGCCTTACAGAAGGAATTGTCATAATCAAAGATTAAAAAAAAAAAAATTCTATTGTCTACTGTGCCTCTCTGTGGGAATTTTCCCGGCACAGACAGCTGTAAAGGAGGAGGGGTATTGTGAGTTTCAGTACTCTCATTCTCTCTCTTCCTCTCTTTCTCTGTCAATAAATGTCTGCAATCATATTCTTGAGCTCCAGAGTGATTTCAAGGTTCATCTCTTCCATGCAGCTCAAACACTAATTATCCCAGCTGTAATTAGTAAGATAATTAAATACTGGCTCACTCATCACTCTACCTTGTGTCGGGTCATGATTCTCCCAGAAGACCTTGAGCAGTTTCTCAAAGCTGATGTTTTCTGGCTGATATACTACTCGTACAGCCTCTGTGTGGCCAGTTTTACCTTAGAAGACAAAATAAATTCAGATATTATTAGTGAGAATTACCTAGTGCATTCCTCATTTTTTATATCTGAGATTCAAAGCACAATCCTGTGTTTTGTTTTTTTTTTTCTCCTCCTAAAATTGTTTTGATTTACCATCATTTATACTTAAGCCTTTATACACAATATTTTATATACGTGCCGACTCTAAGATGTCTGCTACTTTGGACAAGGCCATCATGAAACAAACTATCCAGAGAGGCAATAAGGTAAGACGGTGATGACAGAAAAAAAAAAAAAAGACTAGTTCTTAAATATTTGTAACTGACAACTAGTAAAATATTTTTAAATATTCTAAATACCACATTAAAATATGAAAACTTATATATCTAAGATGTCTTGAAAGCATAAAACTTCGTTTCCATGAGGCAAGACATGGATAAAATAATTGGTTATAAATACAAATTTCAAGGGCGTGTTTACACAAGATCACACAAAGCATTTCAAAGTATTTCACATCATTCAAACCACTGATGCCAATAGGCTTCAAAATTAGTCCAAGAGAGCCTGACCGAACTGCATGACAGCAGATGAAATTCAGGGAAGATGAGCAGGTGTTACAGCACATTAAAACATATTGTTCCTATTTCTCAGTTACATTATAGACATGATCTTTTTCATTCCTTACATGTCTAATCACTCACAATATTATTGAAAGATCCAGCTTCACAGAATATGAAAGATCTGGCCACATAATTCACTTCAACTATAACTAATAGTCAGATTGAGGAGTGCTCAGACATCTCAGCGTGAAAACATCTTCTATTGTATAACTATTATACATTCTATATTTTACAATGTATAAACGTAGGCATATTCATTGTCATAATATATGCACGAACGGGGAAAGAAACCTTATCCTATTCTTCTGTTAAATCATAAATAGTAAATTCTAAACAAAAGTAAACTGGACAGCCAGATCTGCCTTTCGTTGGGGATGCAATAAGCTCCTCGATCACACTAGGCCAGGGTGTTTTTTCTATTATATCAGCATAAACTTCAGATTTGCTCAACTGACTTCAACAGAATTGTTGAATTTCATGCGGTGCAACAACCAGCTGAACGCGGCACAGTGATGGCTTCTGAATTAGCTGTCACCGAACACGAAAAATCAGAGTCTACGAGCAACTGAGGAGTGTTCAGTAGAAACATCAATTTAGCACCCAGAGAAATTCTAATTAAAAAAAAAAATAATTAGAAAGAAATAAAAAGGATGCTAGGATATATTAAAGAGACATAACAGGGAAAAGTATGACAGCATTATATCAGTTAATGGGGCACCTGAAATGAAGAGAACCTAAATGAGGCACAGAGGGGTGTGACAGATATTAAAAGGAATTTAAAAGACTGGGATTAAATTTAGTCTAGAATGCAGAGGAGTAAAAGGGGACACATCTGGGACATCTGTAATGAAAATTTTGATAAAATCAAATCGGTTCCTCTCTAGTGTGTTTCACAATACAACAAAGATACGCTCAGCGAGATTAAAAGACAAAAAATGTACAATTTTCATGTAACCTGTAGCTAAAGCCATGCCATCCTGTCCACCAGGATACTGTCCAGGCAAACGACGGCCCGATTCCTCTTTCACACGCACTATGCCTAATGAAGACCATGGAAGCAACTCATTATCTGAAGGCAAATTCTGATGGCAGGGTAACAGAAAGGGATCATACATTTAGCAGAATAAAAATACAAGTTACAGATAATTGGCTTAATAATAAAGTGAAATGGTCTTTCTATATTATGGCATGAACAGACGGCCAGCTTAGATCAGGGACGGAATTCATTCCAGGTTTCACGGTTTGATATGGACTATCAGTGAAAATAATGGGGTTTGCCTCAGCTGAAGCCTGGATTGGGAATTTTGTTGTGGCTTGGGATAAAGAAGGAGAGTGAAGGGACAGCGGTCTGTCCGGCTCCCACGAGCTTGTATCTTATAACTAAAAAGCGATTAAGGAGTGCCTTCTGACTTTAATTCTTTTTTTTTATTATTATTTTTTAAGCCAACATGAACCTTATGAAAGATTCTTATCACTCAGGAGCAAATTGCTTGTCTGAGATGACTAGCTTTAGATCACAAGAGAGTTTCTTAAAGAACTTCAAAACAACAGCGGCATTACCTTTCCTCTCAATTGAAGCAGCAATTACATCTTGTCAACACTGTCTGCTCTGACTAATCCCGAAGTTCAAAGAATCAGCTTTCTTCTTTCCCGCTGAATAAGGAAATAATGGTGCTACTCTGAGAACTATAGCCCGACCTCGAGAAAAAACCCCTCAGATGTGTGACTAACAGACTGTTAGAACCGAGAGCATATTTAAAATCAATATTCACCCTCTGAGGAAAAGCAAGGAGGTAATGCTGTTGGTCCTATCAGATTCACCTCTAATTTTCCTCAAAGCCTTTCCACAATCCGGCAGATTTTCTTTCAGAATACAGCGTGGCTATTTCAACGCAGAACAATCTCAGTCATTTGCGGTGAGCACTGCTACTTCCCAACAATTCGAGCGGAAACTATACCAATCAACTGGGTCCCCACCAGCAAACAGACAGGTAAAAGGCTCCACATGTGGGACAGATTAAACACAAGATTTCCTAGAAGAAGCACAGAAAGAAAATGATATCAAGGGACAAGGAAAGAACAAGAGCAATCTCTCCACAGGCACAACTTGCCTCACAGCAAGGAATCGAAAGATGCCACAGGGTTACCCTAAGTAGCATGAGGAAACCACCAGCTCATCAGTGCCAAACGTGACTCAGCTGTAGCCAAAGTGGCAAAAGGGAACTTAAATCAGGCTCTCCTGCTCTATCTTCTTATTTCGCTTTTTGTATTGGGCTTAAGTTCGACTATGAAAACACAATAATCCTGTTTCGGTTTGGGTTTCACGCACGGTACAGTACAGCACCAAAAGAACAGAGCAGGCATCAAACCACCTAACCGCTCTGCCGTATGGTAAAAAAAAAATATCACTGAAATATTTCTAATCAAATCTTTTTTGTAAGATTTCTTAAGATGGAGAGGCAGTAATCAAAGAGAAACAACAAACCCACTTGTTCTCAAAAACGCTGCGTGTCTTTTAACGAGAAATTTAGCAGGCTAACACCGAACGGCTGAAAGGATTTAAAACGAGCAGTGAGAGATGCTGTTCTTTCAGTGACATTCAGCTCTTCACCTTAGTGCCTCTTTCAGGAGTTCTCATGAAAGGTCCATTTATATTAAATCACAGAGTCACGGTGTCCTCAGTTCACCTATTGCTTTTAATTAGCTGATTTTTAATATTCCACAGCAAAAGCACGCTTCACTTGAAGTTCAGAAAGTTTTAACAAGTATGAACATTTCTAGAAGCCTTCTCCCAAAAAAGGCTCAAAGTTTGAACCATTTTTTTTAAATAATTTATCGAATCCCTAAATATAATTTCATTTGCTGTTAGCCGTGCAAATAGAAATCCTTTATTTATAGGTGCCATTATGGGATTTCCAGTTATGGTGCTCAGTTCTTCTTCAGCTTTCGAAGGAGCTTAGCCATTGAAGAACCTCACTGCAGATGATAAGACTTTATTACACCGTGGCAGCGAGGGCTGCGTGCCAACAGCAGATTGTCTGTTTATCCTATATCCATTTCCCACTTAGAAAACATAGCCGCTCTCAGAGGATTAGCTACAGTGAGCTCTTTCAGTGGGGATTCAAACTCTGGCAGAAACGTTGCTGTAAAGAGCAAGAGAAAAAGACATCTGAGTGACACCTCAGTGCTCCTTTTCCATTTTTTTTCTTCCTAATAGTGTTTAGATTTTCACCTTCTTAATCATCTCCCAGGTGAGCGCCCGAGCCGACGGATTAGAGAAGCCAACTCATTCTTTTTCACTTGCTGTATCCAATAAGCAGTTAATTATTTGCGGCAAAGTGGCACAACTTCAAAGGGTTGGCTTGAGAGCACCTCACTGGTGCAAACCCAACCACCCAGCGGCTCCCGCGCCGCTGCGCGCCACGTGGGCGTCATCTCCAGCTACTCCAGCCCCGGCTGAATTCAGTCAGAAAATTCAAGAAACGCCAAAACTATTCCCTCCTGCCCCACTTCTTCAATGTAAAAAGGACTCGTCTCTCTTTACCCACTGAAATACAGGGCGTGAATCTACTAAGTGTCTAAATATAATTAAAAGAAATAGGTGGCAGATCTTCAGCTGATGCACATTTCAGAGCTTCTTGATTATGGAGCTAAACCAATTTGTGCTAGCTGAAGCCCAGGCCCTAGTGAATATGCAAAGTATTACATGAAAAAGCAGTAGGTCTTTTGAGCATCTGTTTCTCCCAACTAGCCTGGGAATTTTTATTATGTTGCAGTTATCGCTAATAAAATTTCCAGTTTCTTCCTAAAAGAGCAATGCATTACACAAAGGGTTCGCCGCTAACACACCGAGAACCCGCACTGTGGGGACCTACTTAACTTTTACCTTTCTCCCTTCAAAGTAACGAAATAATCACAGATTGCTAGATTTTTTTAAGAAGGGTCCAGTGTGGTGATTTTATTTGACTTCCCACCTAACACAGATGAGCGAATTTCACTGGAGCAGGTCCGTATTTTGTACTTAGAAAAGTAACAGCTCTTGACTCAAAGAACCCAACGGACAGAAAATCCACCAGAAGTCAAGGTCACTTCATCGAGCGATCTATACCTCTTGGATTTAAAACAAACAAAGAATAAAAACAGAGACTACACACATTTTAATTATTACCTGAATTTATGTATTTAAATATCTTTCTACTAAATATCTTTCTAGTATGAACTAGGAGGCTTTCCCTTATCTTTTTTTTTTTTTCCCCTGAATATTTGTAGTGAATCAATCTTTCTAATTAATCTCTTGTTCGGAAGAGACACATCAGGTATACAACAGCACTAACATGTGGCTACTCTTTTTTTTTTGTTTTACTTTCTTTATATTTCCAATAACTTTAAGGACTTTGT